GACTCACTGGCTGAAGGGCCAGAGCATCCTGAATCTCTGGCCTTGTCCTTCCCAGGGCAAAGGACAAGGGCTCCTCGGAATCTAATTACTGAGCCAATGAGGGCTTCCTTTCCCAGGGGCAAGTACTGGGGCAAGGAATAACCCCAGAGCTGGGTGCCACACAGGGTTAGAGAGCCCACACTTCTCTATCTCCTACTTGGAAGTCAGAGTTTATATAGCATGCACTAAAGCAGGAGTGGGGAACCTTTTCTCTGCTGCAGGTCATTGGGATATTTATAACATCATTCCCTGGCCATACAAAATTATCAACTTAAAAATTAGCTATGAAAAAAGCTCCTAGATTTCTTGAATTTCAAGTCCTGCCTTGGTTGCCTTGGCAGGGCCAGACCAAATGATTTCACGGGCTGTATATGGCCCGAGGACTGGACGTTCCCCACCCCTGCTCTACAGCAACCTGGACTCAGCAAGTCTTTAAAAGAATAGCTTGTCTACCTCTGAATGAAAGGGTGAGTGTGGAATCCAAACGTCAGTCAGAGAAGTGAAACCATTAAAAACCAAAACAGTCTAGTCACTCTGAGAAGAGTTTGCGCATTTTTATGCTAATGTTCTTTTTATATTTTTCATATTTTTCATAAAATATATTTTATATCTATATTTTTATATTTTTCAAATTTATAATTTTTCACTGAGGAATGGTTAAGTAGCTTATACTTAACCATTCCTCAATGAAAAATCTTGAACACCAACAATGCACTTATTTCTGTGAACAGTTTTAAGTTCACGTAAGAGTTTTACATGCAATCTTTAAAAGTTTTAAGAGTTTTAAGTAAAAGTAAACAGTTTCATAAGACACATATGAACAGCAACAGCTACACGTGTGTAATAAGCTACAAGCATGTGATTGAAATGTCTGCCAGCTCAGCAGCCCCTTGCCTGATGAGAGCAGCTCGTCGGTGCCAACCTCCACACTGTTACCCTCAGTGACTCCTGTGGGTCTCCAGCGGTGACGCAGGTGCTCAAGCAGGTCTGTCAGCTGCAGTCACCAGCACCATGCCCCACGGCTGCCTTTTCCTCCCCTACGCCTGTCCCCCCTTATTGTGCCTGCTGCCCCCAAAGCACCTTGGATATGGTACCCCATCCATCGAGAAGACGACAGTGTCGTTTCCGAGGTTCCAACAACAGTGTGGTCTTGGGATGTTCCCAGAGCTTCCAGCCCTGGAAGGCCAGAGGGGTGCTATTTCCTTGCAAAGGCCATGAGCACAGCCTCCTCAATTCTCATTTTTACCAGGCTCCCAAAGCAAGCTGTTTGGGGCCTAGTCTCCCCAAATCTATTATTCCTATTTGGTGGCCTTCATCGCCCTCCCCCTGCCCACAGTGGGTTTTCAAATTCGATCCAGCAGGCCAGACAGGGGCTCTTCCTTCGCCTTCTCTCTCTTCCCAGCCTCCCACAACCATCAATTCTTTTCTCTATACCTTTATGCAAAAAAGAAAAAAGGAAAGGCCCTTTGCCTGTCATGTTGGTGAACAGAAATGTGCGTGTGTGTGTGTGTGTGTGAGTGTCTGTCTGTGGACCCAGGCAGCATTGTCACCAGGCTTTCAGCGCAAATGAGCCACAGCATCCTCAGGAGACTCTGTGGGGTAAGGGAGGTCCCCTTCACCTGAGAAAATGGGAAAGGACACCCGCAGCAGGAGGAGGGAAGGACTCACAAACCCTGAGACCCAGAGGTGTACGAGTGGGCCTGCTTAGGGAGCGGCGAGGACAGGAGCCTTGGGCAGGAGTGGCAGCCGGGAGTCAGGTGACATGCGGGCGGACAGCTGGGGCACAGCTGACTTCTAGAAAAGCCGATGAGAACAGCTTTGCTGTGGTCAGTGAGGAGCGAGCGAACCCCTGGGGTATGTGAGCAGGGTTGTGGCAGGATGACAGTGGTAGTTACAGCTTCCAAGAGAGCGTGATCTGACCAGGGAACACGCAAGGACGGGAGAGGCAGGAGTGTGGAAACGTGTCGTCACCTTGGAAACGCATGGGGACACGCGTGTGCTGGAGCCCTGGCCACAGCCGGGACACACAGGGGAAGCGGGACGGGTTCTGGAGTAACTCTGGGCCTTCTCCTGGGATGTGGCCACTTGACTGAAGTGTCCTTTGACTGTGAGCTATATTCTAAAGGAAACTCCTATTCCAAAATGAATGTGTCCTGTACCTCACCTACACTTTGTCTCATAAATTACACCTTCTCACAGTGTACCGTGGCCACGGGCCGCCTCCGTAACCCCAGCTTTGTCTCATCTGCTCCCTGTTGCACCCCCTTGCTCTGCACCTTGGCTTTGCCCTCTGCTTGGCCCGTTGTCTTGACCATCCTGGCTTTTCTTATCTCCTGTCCTGCCCTCTGTGGGGACAACGAAGGCAGGGATCTTTCGCCTTTCACAGGGGCGTCGCCATGCCCAGTCCTGCCTCNTGAAGGCAGGGATCTTTCACCTTTCACTGGAGCATCGCCATGCCCAGTCCTGCCTCCCAGTCTCCTTGCCTCAGTTATTCCACCATCATCTCCCCTAAGTTAGAGGAAGGGAGATAGACAGAATTCTTTAACTGGACACCCCAGAATTCGTGCATGATATACTGAGCATGCAAGCCCCCCTCCAGAGCAGATGACACCCGATTCCTTAAAGGAAGTCTCTTCAGTAGCAGAACTGGGAACTGCTCTTCACCTTGACCCCTGACAGGCTGTTTATGGGTCCTAGGTGGGAATGTGGCCTTCCTTGTGCAGAGCATCGGGAATTCATGGACTCGGGCTCAGCCCCCTGGACAATTACAGTGTCACACTTTCAACTCAGAACCATAACACCGTGTGCTTGGGTGACAGTTCACAACTGGTTTGGGGTATGGAGTTGGCGCTGATCCCTAACTGGAATGGAGAATGGATATAATAACCAAAAATGGTTATTATATGGAGATAATATATGGATAATGGGTATAATAAACAAAAGACAAATGGCCCCCAGAAGCACAGCTTTTCTCTAAGCATGACACAAGGGCATCAGGGGGAAATGAGAAAGGAGCCTAACAGATGTCATGTCTGAGTCAAGGGACACCCTCTTGGGGAAAGTGTGAGCCTTTTCACACCATGCAGGCAGCTCAGCTTTGAAACTGCTATCCTGGGCCGTGTCTATAGGATCCAAAAGCTTGTGGTGCAGGAGCATGCTTCCTAGAGTGTGTTCCAGTAATTCTTCCTCAGAGGACCTTCTCTGAGGGGTGGCTGTCCTGCTGGGGTGGAGAATGGCCCTGGGAGACAGATAAGGTGATAGTTAGCTGGTGGAGCCGATTGTAACTTACAGGTATAGGGAGGCTTTAAGTAAAGGTGGCATGTTAGAGCTGCCATAACAAAATACCGCAGACTGGGTGGCTTCATTAACAGGAGCTTATTTTCTCACAGTTGTGGAGGCTGGAAGTCCAAGGTCAGGTGCCAGCAGGGTCCTAGGTGGCTTTCTGGTAGCTACCCTCTTACTGCTGTCCATCTGGTGGCTCCTCTGTGCAAGCACATCCTGCTGTCCAAATACCCTCCTCTTATAGGGATGCCAGTCAGACTGGAGTAGGACCCGTCTAAAGGCCTCGCTTTAGTTAACCATCTCTTTGAAGAACCTACTTTCAAATAAAGCCACATTCTGAGGCACCGAGGTTGGGCTTCAGCAGATGCGTTTTAAGGGAACAATTCAGCCCATAGCAGGTAGCCTGTGAGAACCTTTTCTTGAACACTAATAACCATCATAATATTATGGGTGTCGCTTAGCATATGCCAGGGACTGTTGCATTTTTCATGTATTAGTCCAGCTCGTCTTCACAACAGTAGGTTGTATAGTTATAGGTCATAATTAATTAAAGATTACCACTTTCTTTTCTGAAAAGTGGCCAACTTCTCTTGGTATGGTTTTGTGATATAGTGAGCATCACAGCCTTGCACGTGACCTGGGGTTCCTGTGACTTGATGTGACTTGGAATTATAGGAGAATCTTATGCTGATGTTTTGGTTGGTAGAAGACCTTTGGAAGTGCAAGGTTCCTTTCTCAGCCCATGATCTCCACACACCTGTGTCAGGTGACAGGACAGTCCCAGTGGGAAAACAGCAACCTCTTTCAGAAGGTCTTCCCTGAAGGATTCTCTCATCCTAGTAGCCGAGGTTCCACCCTCATTCATGCACAGGCTGAATCATCACAATTAAGACAGGAAGCTGTCAAGTCCAAGAGTCAGGCGGGAAACCCTGATGAGCACTCTTCCCCGGGGAGGCGGCAGCCTTCCATTGAAATCGTGGGTGTGTAAGACACACTCACACACCCTGGACAGCCCTCACACACGTTGCTGAGCAGTACTTACCAGCTAGACACCCATCCCTAAATCTTCTCATTAATTCCACTTATGGACTCTGCAAAAGCTTATTCCTGTTTACAGATAAAGAAACCAAAATTAGCTGGGGCCACAGCCCTGAGCCCCACCCTTCCCCTGTGTGGCCTTGAGCTAAATACTGAACCTCTCTGGGTGGGTCTCACTGGCCTCACCTATAAAATGAATGCTTACTCTCACTCTCCCCACTCGCCTAGCTTAAGTGCCCCGCACAGCTGCTCAGAGGCATTTCACTCCTGCCTTGGAGAGCCCGGTGTGCCAGCACCGCCAGACACCTACGGGTGCTCGCCGCGCAGCAGCTCTCTTTGGCCTCCTGCCCCCACCCTCTTTTCTAGGGGTCCCAGCTACATATGCAACAAATGAACATACTCCTATGGATCCCCCATCCCCACTTAAAAGCCTGAACTCCCCCGTCACCCAGGGTAACCTGCACAGAAACCATCACGTTTGCATAAGGGTTTACTTGCCCCAAGTGTGAGTCAACCAGCATCCGGAGAAGTGGCCCGGGGCAGCTGGGGCCACCCTGCCAGCTCAGAGGAAGAGTAGGTGAAGAGTGACACTGGGCCAGGAGTGACACTGGGCTTTCTCTCTCCTTTTTTTGGCCCTCCAGGAGGCTCTCTCGGTGGTGAGTGACGACCAGTCCCTCTTCGACTCCACGTACGGAGCAGCCCATCTCCCCAAGGCCGACATGACCGCCTCAGGGAGTCCTGACTATGGCCAACCCCACAAAATCAACCCCCTCCCACCACAGCAGGAGTGGATTAATCAGCCGGTGAGGGTCAATGTCAAGCGGGAGTATGACCACATGAATGGATCCAGGTAAGCCCGGCAGGCCTGTGTGGCTCCAGGGCCAAGTGTGGGGTTAGGAGGCTGGAGGCCTGCTTGCTTCCCGGTGTCTGAGTAGGCAGGTCTGACCCGAGTGGCTTCTGGAACTAGGGTTTCTGCAGCAGATGAGGCTCTGGTGCAGAGCCAGATGCCCGAGACAGTCTCTAGAGAGCTGAGATGACAGAGAGAGAAAGAGAGAGAGAGAGAGACCAAAGTGAGGGCTGTGGGTGGAGTGGGGCCAGCAAGCCCACCTGGCTCTCTGGGTCAGGCCTATGACCTCCTCTGCGGACCCTGTAGAACACCTACTTTGTGACTTTGTGTCAGGCCCAGGTACAGCCCCTCTTAGAGATAACTTAGCATTAAGGTGCTCCTCCCTGTCCTATTGAAGATGCTTGACCTCTCTGGATGGGTCTCACCAGAGCAAAGATGACCAAACCATTCTTGTAGTAAGAGTCCAACCTGACGACACAGGTGAACACTTCCAAGGGCTCGCTGTGTGAGGGAGGATGCTCCACACTTAGAAAGTGTGTTTGAAGTTGACGGTGCCAGGGCAGGAGATCGTGCTTGTAGAAGTGGAGGGAGAGTCCAAGGAGAGAAAAACCGCAGGGCCAAGGAAGAGCAGGCCTGGTGGAAAGGCTGCCCAGGCTCCAGTCTGGCTCTGCCCTCAGGCAAGCGATCTGTGTCTGAGCACCAGCTCCCTTCTTTCTAAAACAGCTCAGGAGGTCTCCCTCTTCATAGGCTTGTTCCAAGGGTTGCCTCTGATGCTGGAGGGAAGGACCCAGGACAGTGCCCGGGACTCAGACGTGCTGGGCGGTGATAGTGATCACCATGAGCAAAGGCTTGGGAGAGAAAACATTGGTCTCATTCACGAAATATCCGGTGATCCACCGGGCCTGTAGCACAGGGAGAGATACGTGAAAATAAGAGTGAGCCTCAAATGGCAGGCTGAGAAATAGAACTTATTCCACTTGCAAAGGCTGACTTTTAGCATAGACATGACAGTTATATGTCCAGAGCTGTGATTTCATACTGGAGAGCTGACAATCATTGTATACAGAGGCTGGGAAGGGGAGAGTCAGAAAGATAAGTTAAGTTATTACAGCCCTGGCCCATGTGGCTCAGTGGTTAGAGTGTCAGCCCATGAACCAAAGGGTTGCGGGTTCAATTCCCTGTCAAAGGCACATACCTGGGTTGCAGGTTCGATCCCCAGCCTCAGCCAATCAATGTGCTTCTTTTCATATTGATGTTTCTCTCTCTCTCCCCTTCCTTCCCTCCCTTCCACTCTCTCTAAAAAAAAAAAAAAATCAGTTGAAAAAAAGATATCCTCAGGTGAGAATTAACACACAAAAAAAGAAGTTATTGCAATATCCCAGAAAGGAATGATAATGTTCTGAATGAGGATAATGCTGGTGATTTTGGGAATAAAGGAGGTAGAGACATGAAGGGTGTGTCAAAGGGGTAATTACCAGGGCTCAGGCCAGCAGATAGGGAAAGAAGCGTGGATGGGGGGATGTGCGAAAGGAAAGAGTCAAAGATGACAAAGCCTAGATGTTCCCAAGGAAGATGGTGCTGTTAGCACCACAGGAGGTGGGAGCGGAAATGCTTTGGGGAGAGATGTCAGTGTTGCCTGTGAGAGTCTTCGTGAGCAATCAGTAGAACATCCAGATAAAAATGTCTGCTAGGCTTCGGAAACTAGAGCTCAGATAATATTCTGGGGCTGGAATTTAGGTTTAGGCATCATCTCGAAGGCGTTTTAGCGGTGAAGCAGATGAGGTCACCGAGGAAATGAGACTAGAAAGAGAAGAGAGAAGGGAGTGTGTGCGCGGCTGGGGGGGCGCCCTCCTCCTGACAGCCCCTGGTCCAGACCTGCCTGTGGGAAACCCAGACCCACCACGTCTCAGTCCCACTAACCAAAACCAGTCGCTGGGATCCCAGCCACCGTCTCCAGTCTAAGATTTCAGGGAGGCTCAGAGGTTCTGGGCCAGAAGCCCCTTAAATGAGTCTCTCCACAGAGGTAACAAAGATAATGCATTCCTCACGGTGTAGGTAGGGTGTAGTTTGTCAAACATTTTCCCATATTAGCTTATCAGTTGCTCCCCAGGCTCCTATGAGGTAGATATTATAATTACATTTTCACATATAAAGGCAATTGGGCCTTGAGGGGTAAATGACTGGTCTAAGGATTTAGAGGAGGCAAAGCAGGCACCAGGGCCCAGGCTCCCTGGTTCCCGGTCTGCGGGCCACCTCCCTGTCCCCCCTCTGCCTGGGTGCCCTCATTTTCTCATTTCTGCCAACACCCCCGCTCCCCAACACACACACACACAGCAAGGAGGGCCATCCAGCAAAGCCTCCCGCACTGACCTGACCGCCGCAGCTCCCGATGCTTGTTGAAAATCCAGATCCCGGCCTGGGGGAGTCTGTGGTCTGTTGGAACCCAAATCCAGCCGCAGCTCACCTCCACCGCCCACCCCAGGCCGAGCCAGCAGCCCCTCTCCTAGGCTACCCCATGGCATCCCGCCCTCCCCGCTTCCTCTTGCCTCTCCGAGGCCTTCTTCAGACAGCGGCCAGCGTCATCCTTTCAAAACACTTAACTGTCTTGCTCAAAATCCTTTACTGGCTTAGGACAAAAGCCAAAGTCCTTCCAGTAGCCCCACCACCCCTCTGACACCCTCTTTTTCACTCTCCTCCTGCTCCCCTCCTTCCGTCCACACCAGCCACACGAGACCTCAAGCACAGTCCTGCCTCAGAGCCTCTCCCTTTGGTTCCTTCTTTCTGGAAACTCCTTATTTCATCTTGTCATGTGGCTTTCTCCCTCACTTGTTTCAGGTCTCTGCCTGAATGTCACCTCCTCAGGGGTCTTCCCTGACCCCCTGACCTAAAACAGCACCTGTCACTCCAGCCTGCCTTGATTTGTTTTAGCTCTGCCTGGCTCTTATCATGTCCCCCATTAATCGTGGGCAGGGCTTCCTTACTTTTACTGAGCACAGGATAGGTGCTCGATAAATAGTTGTAAAGTGAGCAAGTGAGTGAATGTGTGGCTAACCCGGTTCAGAGATGAAGACGCTTACTTGAGGTCATGTAGGGCATTAGTGTGTGAGCCCGCAGGACAGGGACCAGAGTCTGCTCGGTCTCTGCCTCAGATGGAGACGGTTTGTGCTCAACCGTCCAAGGAAGGCCTGAGCTCTCTAAGTTGCTAATCCTGGGCGAAGAGGTCCCCACGGAAATCAGCTTCAGAAGCGCTTGCCAGCTCACTCCTGCTCCAGTCGCAGCAGCAGCCAGCTGGAGGGGAGCAGTGTGGGAGCAGAGCGCAGATACCTGGCTCTGGCTGCACAGAGTGGCCCCTGCCTTTGATTTGCCCGCCTTGACCCAGACCATCAGGAGGTGACAGAGTAGGCTCAGAAAGACTGATGTACTCTCAGCCC